CTCTAGATCACATCCTTGCTGAAAATGATGCAGAGGACACACCTAGTGACACAGATGAGCCAGTTTCTGAGGAGGACAATGCTATTGAATATGAATCAGAGTACACAGACTCGTCGAATGAGGAGGGCACAGGTGCTGAAGCTGCTCCTGTAACTGAAACCTATAAATCCAAAAAGGGTAACATCACTTGGAGTGCGATTCCTCCTGTTTCACATGGCAGGGAAGCTGCTGAAAATGTTATGAAGATGACCCCTGGGATTACAAGGTTTGCTGTGACACGAGTAAGTGACATCAAGACATGCTTTGATTTGTTTATGCCATTGTCACTAAAGAAAGTCATCATTGCCATGACAAACCTCGGAGGGAAAAAAGTTCACGGTGACACTTGGAAGGACATTGATGAGGAGTGCCTGGATGCTTTTATTGGTGTTCTTCTTCTCGCTGGCATGTACAGATCCAGCAATGAGGCCCTTACTAGTCTCTGGGATGTGTCCACAGGCAGGAGTATTTTCCGCGCAACAATGTCACTTCAGACCTTTCAAATGATCTCAAGAGTCCTCAGATTTGACAACAGAGATACTAGAGCACGGTCTGACAAGCTTGCTCCCATCAAAGACGTCTGGGATAGATGGGTGAAGCTCCTTCCACTGATGTTCAACCCAGGACCAGAGGTGACAGTGGATGAGCGTCTTCTCCCTTTCCGTGGAAAATGCCCCTTCCGGCAATACATGCCCAGTAAGCCAGGCAAATATGGCATAAAAATCTGGGCAGCCTGTGATGCGAAAACCAGCTATGCCTGGAATCTACATATTTACACAGGCAAACTTGCAGCTGGCATCCCTGAGAAGAATCAAGGAAAACGGGTAATCCTTGATATGACTACTGGACTGCGGGGTCACAAAAAGAAAGAAACTAGAAAGAGCATGTTTGTAACTAGAAGAGTATTTATTTCATTTTGATTTTTTCTTGTCTTTCTGAATCTGTATTTTGTATTATTACTTGTTCTGCTTTTTATTTTATATTGGTATTAAAGTTCAATGTTTGAAAAGAAGTGTTTCTTCTTTTTTTTGACGTAAATATACATGGGTCAAAACTTACCCTTAACACTATAAATGTTACTATGGTTAATAATATTAAAATAACAAAATAATAAGACAAATTTATTTTAGAGATGTGTTCTAATACTTCTTAAAAAAACACTGTTTTGAGGGCATTTTTTGGCTGATTTAAGACGGGTCACAACTGACCCGTTCACATCATAAGTGCGTGCGGGATCTCGCCCCGCTAGGAAGGGTAGTTTAAAAGATCCATGGCGGCCAGGCTCTGGGGTTGGATGAGATTTGCCCCGATTTCCTAAAGACTGGATGTTGTGGGGCTGTCTTGATTGACACACCTTTGCAACATTGCGTTGCGTTACATTAGGGGTGTGATGGTACGCTAAAATCACATTTCAGTTCGGTTTAGTTTCAAGGAGAGTTCGGTTCAGTTCATTTTCAGTACAAAAAAGGCCAAAGTAAAGACTTGCAAAACGTTTATTTTGAAAATATGCCAAGTAAACAATACGTTTGTATAAAAATAAATAAAAGCAATCCATTTGGATGGTATTTTAAATAAACTACTCTTTACAATAAATAAACTATGCTAACAATAATAAAAATATTAATAAATACAAGAACAGTCAGAACCAGAACAATAAGCAGCAACAGACCATTTACAATCTAACTATCCAAAAAAGTTCAATCTGGTCCTCTGGACATTCAAAAAAAACAAAACAAAAAAAAAAATAAATAAAAATGTAGAAACGTTTCGTCTTCACCTCGGACTTCCTCAGTCTGAGGTGCTGTATTCAGCTCAGTCTCTTAAATAGCACCTTCTCAGAGTGGATCAACCAGTTTGCTGCTGACAACCAAAACCAGCTGATCACATGCTCAAGAAGGACCATCAGCCTAACAATGGATCATTAGCACACTAACATAGAATCATATTAACTGCTTCAAAATACTAGTTCTGATTATTTGTTCCACACAAAAGGGGTTCTGGACCCCCTCCTCCACAGATTCAGACCTCCTAGTGGGGCTTGGTCCACTCTTCCTCTTCTAAAACAAATCTTGATCACCCTCTTCATCAACAAAGCCCTCACTGACTGATTCAGACTGTTATTCTCCTTCAGGATCCTCTCCTTTGTCTGAGGTTCTGAAGGCTCCCACAGACTCGAGCGTCCTGTCAGTCGCACGTAAAATGTCCGCAGACTGTTGAGAATTCATACTCGAGCATACACCCTGACCGGCTGCAGCCCAGCTCTGCAGGCAAGGGCCTTTTACCTTCAGGACAAATTGAGTTCGCAGATTGGTCATTTGCTAAAATCCATTTAACTTCTGCATCATTTTCTTCTTCCTGTAGATTTTGTAGCTCTTGACAATTAACTCTGAGCACCTGTCAGAAAGGAGTGGTGGGAGGTTTATTTTATCTGTTAGGGGTGGAGGTGAAAGTAGAGGGTGATGGGAGTGTTTTGTGCCTGAGACTGCCCATCTCTGCCACAGCTTCTCACTCTAACGCGCTTCAGAAATGACAATAATTTTCAGAAAAAGATGTGGCATGGATTATTTATCATAACTTTGGTTTTACTTGGCCTTTCAGCACAATTTAAAAACTGCTGTGTAGTTTAGTCTGTACTTTTGAGAAATTAAAAAGGAGTCTCCAAGAGGCTGTGTCTTTCCTGCTAGAGCGACTGAAATCGGTCATTTGACTACTGTGTGCCAGCATGTGGATTGACTCCAGTGGGGAAAAAAAACTATCAAAGAAGGAGCGCCAGACACTTGAGTAGGCGGCAAAATCACTGGGAAGGCAGGCCTTTGTCACAAGAAGAAAATGGTAATGTTGTGGACTAAAATTAACTAAAATGAACATCAATAATGGGTAGGATATTCTTGTTAAAATAAAACAAATTCTCCAGTAATATTTTTTTTGTGAAAGATTTTCCATATGAGGAATAACTTGCTCATTTTATAACCTTTATTTATTTTTTTTACCAGTAGGTCAGTTGAGGTTGGGGATTTTTAATTATTTTATCATTGTTCAGAAAATATATACATTAATCTATAAATGTTAATGTCAACATGTACTTTAATAAAGAGATTATGAGCTATTGCGCCGTGTTTAAAATGTCTTTTCCCAACAACTTGGTTAATCTGGTGAGGCTCAGATGTCTCAGCTTTTCAGCAGCCTTGAACACAGCATCATCTTTGTGAATCTGGATCAGTAAGAGTCTCAAAAAACACATCGACAGCCAAGTTGATCTGTGCGCAGCAGGTGATTTGTGCAATGGTATTTGACAATTCGTATGCCCAAGAATATTCCTACTTGTGCAATATGAAATATATCCATTTGAAAAACTGTTCATTGTGAATATTTTAGTATGCTTGTGGGTCTTACGCTACCCATCCAAATCTTATTGTATGCTTGTGTGACTACTTTTGAGACTTATCTTCATAGGAGTTAGTTTGAGCTGTGAAACTATAAAGGATCTATAAACGTGTTTAGTCAAACTAATTTAAAAGCATTTAAAAAGGCAGGAAGTAATGTTTCCAAATGAAGAATAAAGTTGCAGAAAGACCTGTAGTCCTTCATCATTTAAGAATGCTTTCATGTTTTCATGCCCCTACATGCACCCAACAGTAGAGCTGTCATTTCTAACCCGGGCCCAAAGTCTGACCTGACCCTCTCCCGATTTCGAGGTGGGTCAGGCCATGATGATGTGCTCAATGGGTTCGGACCTGTAATTACTGTTAATTCGTCGGGTGGAGTGGGGTTCGGAAAGAATGGCTACAGGCTGGGGCCGGGTTGGAGCAGATTTTTTTGGGCCTGAATGCAACTCTGCCCTGCAGATGTTGGATGCTGTCTATCACTGTGCACTAAGATTCATAACTGGCTGTGATTATCATACCCAACACTGCACCCTGTATTCACTGGTTAACTGGACATCATTAACTTCACTCAGACTCTCTCACTGGTACATTTTCATCTTTAAATCACTTCTTGGTCTGCTGCCTTCATACATCTCCTCTTACATGTCTCTGCGTGAGTGCAGCTACAGCGTGCGCTCTCAAGACATCATTACATGCAGTGTTCCCTCAGTGAGGACTGAACTTGGCAAAAGGGCCTTCTCCTACTCCGCTCTTGTTTCCTGGAATATCTTACAAAAAGATCTGAAGCTCTCGACCTTGACCTTTCTAAGTGACTTCCAACATCCGCTAAGTTCATGGCAAAAACCAATGCAGACATGTTCCTGTTTTTAGTATTTTACATTGCTCTTCAACCTAGCTGTTTTTGTTACATTTTTTTAATACCATTTTCTTTCCACTTGTTCTTCTCAAGTTGTATGCTTTTCATGATTGTCTTCTGTTGTCTTTGTTGTCCACTGTTGTCATCACTCTTTGTTAGAATTAGGTCTCTGAGGTCTCCCAGAGGCTCAATGGGACTAACCTGTATAAATGAAGGTTGAATGTTTAAAATGCTCTCTTTGACATGAAAAATAAATTTTCTCCTTTTTCTTGGAAGACAATTTTGTTTGACACCAGTCGTGCTTAAAATGATGTAAAATTAGACTTAAAAGGCATTATGTTTTTATTTTTCTGCTTTCCAGTTGCCGTTGTTGCAAATAAAAGCTTTGACTTCCCTTTATTAAAAAAATTAATTAATAAAAATTCCACTGCAAATGTCATGCGTCATAAAATGCAAATGGACAGTTGGCTTTTCTTATTTTAAGTCACCTTTCAGACTGGTGAAAGTGACACAGTAGAAAGCAGAAAAACTGTTCAGAACTGGCTTTAATTGCATCCTCACTGTGCAGGTTTGGGCTGCATCCACGCTGACTCACCACTGATTCATCATTCATCTGTTCCCAGCTGGAGATGTGTGCTGTTTGATTTGTACTAGGTGTGGAGAGACTTGAACAATGTCGGGAGGACTTGGCTGACACATGTTCTGTTTTGTCTCCACAGATCATCAGAAGCTGGAGCGAGAGGCCAGGATCTGCCGCCTGCTCAAACACCCCAACATTGGTAACTATTACTCCTCTTCTTTATTTGTCCATCTTTAGTTTAACTCTTTTTAAATAATTGTATTTACTGTAATTTTATAGTTGACTGCAAATGATAAGAATTTTATTTATTTATTTATTATTACCTGGCTGTATGAACAGATTGACCTTACTGCAGTTTCAGAAAGTGTTCTGATTAAAGCTGCAGTGATCAGAGGAAAACAATAGAAGAGATTATTTAAATTTAGTTATGGCATTCTCTAATAAACACCTACTATAATGACGTTTACTCTCAGTGGCTGTGTAGTCAACATAGACTAAAGTTTTTTTTTAAATTGTCAAAACAGGATTTTGAGAATGTAATAAGTACTTAATCTGTATGCCATAAATCAGAACCAGATCAAGAGTGTGATGAAGAGAATGAGTAGATGTGCGAACATCAGAAAAAAACAGAACAGATAAAAAAAATATTCATTAACTCGCAAAATTGTGAAAAAAAATAAATAAATAAAATAATTCCTACAAAGGAAAGTCGTGGATTGAATTGAAGAGAAAGTTTAAACAATTGCAACATCTGGATGCATCATAAGAATTGTAAAATCTAAAGACGTTTCCAGAAATGCGTCCATGTATTGTGTACACTCTGTCCTAAGTGTGTCCTTAATACATGAATACAAGTCCTGAAGAATGCATTGATTGTAATTTGTGAAGGCAACATTAATATTTTGCCATAACTCAGATCATTATGTCGATTGAAACTAACTCTTCCTATACTGTGCTCCATACTCAGACTGTCACATCCTTCACACACACCTCCCTCTCACTGCTATACTTGTACAACCACAAAAACACACGCTTACACACCTCCGCGTTTGCCTCTGCAGCCACAGAGGCCAAAAATCTGTAATTACTGTCTGCAATCGCATCTCTACACTTACATGTTGGTTCCACCCTTGATGGAAGAACTCTTGGTCTGTGGTGACAACAAATGAGCTAGTGTTGGAGATGATTTGCTGCTCTTTCTTCAACATGTCTTAGGCTGACTAACCAGCCCATGCAGAGGGATTGGATTCTGTCTAACATAAAGGCTGAACCAAGCAGTTTCCTTAAACGTGACTGCCATTTAATGTCTTATTGGAGTGGAACAGCAACATAACTGATGAACAGAGGGGTTTTATTGAGGTCAAGTTGCTTGCTCGTCTAAGCAAATTTAGACAAAACTATAAAGAATAATCTCAGCTTGCAGTACCAAGGTCTGCATTAACTGCATAACTCACTTTTTTTATTAAGTGCTTTCCTTAAAGATCAGAGGGTACCAGTGAAGCTACTTCCTGAAATTTCACCATCAGTTTTCTTCTTTAAAGCTCGATTGGAATTTGGGACTTCTAATCAACTAAACTGACACAATGTCAACATTTTGATGCATCTGCTGTTTAAGCAGTGTCAAGAGAACAAAGGTTAAAAGAATGGCTAAATGGCTGCCAGTGGAGGGGAGTGTTTCCTTTCCACACTTACCCTCGTGCTTGCTCAGGATGGGAGACTGAGACCAAGTGAAGATTCAACACATCTGATGGCTTGCTTCCTTAGAGAACTTTTACTAGTTTACTTTTATAATCTATATGAATGTTTCTGTTAGTGCCCTGAGACAACCTCTGTTGTGACTTCACGCTGTAGAAACGAACTGAATAGAATTGGCTCATTAGGGTCACTGTGGTTTCTCCATTGGATCTAACGAGACTTTTCTAGTTTTAAGGAAAATATTAAGAGCTCTTAAACAACAGAAGTCAAGAGTTTAGATGTGTGTGCTTTTCACTCGGGCGAAATTTGAGAGCAAACCAAAACCCTAAAAGTAGCGTTAAGACAAAGACAAATGCCTACATTTTGATGTTACTGAAGTGTTGAAGCTTGTGGGAATTAAAAAAAAAAAATGTTTGCCAACATTTTGTAAAATTTAGACTGTTCAAACTTTAATGACAATACTTGAGGTTGCTTAACCATCCCTTCATTTCCTTTACCTGCTTGGTCCTGGGAGGGGTCACAGAGGTCAAGGGTACTGGTTTCTAGAGATGATTTGGCAAGAGGAGTGGTACACCCCGGACAGCTCATGAGGGAACATGTTCTACAGTTGAGATTGATAAAGCTACTCTCTGAACCATAGGCGTCACAACCATTATACGTGAAGGGGGAGGGGGGCGTGTGCCTCCCCCCCCCCCCACACACACACACCCTCACACAAATTTATCTTTCCCCCCCCCCCCCCCCCCCCACACACACACACACTTTTACCACTAGTTCAGTCAGCACTTTCCTTCATTAACGAATCCATTCCTCTTGATTAATAGGAGAATACTCAAACTACTAAAAATCCACTCCAGGTTTTCCTGGTTGCCTACATTTCAGCAGCCTGCAGTGTTTCTCCTCTGTAGCTATGTTTACAGGTCCTTCTCAAAAAATTAGCATATTGTGATAAAGGTAATTATTTTCCATAATGTACTGATAAAAATGAAACTTTCATATATTTCAAATTCATTGCACACCAACTGAAATATTTCAGGTCTTTAATTGTTTTAATACTGATGATTATGGCATACAGCTCATGAAA